AAAACCTCTCATGGCTGGACGCGAACCTCGTGTTAACGGACGCTGACATGAATTAACACATCAAATTTGAACGAAAACCTCTCTTGGCCGGACGCGTATTTTTCGGTAATGGAAGTTTCAAATGCATGCAAAATAGTTTCATATTCCTACTACAAGATTTTTATAAAATATCGTAACTTCCGCGATTTGTGCACATGTTATTATTTTTATTTAATTATTTCACAGTTATGCTCAGATTTGCAAGATATAATACAAATAATAGTAGTTATTGAACAAATATTGCAAATTAAATTATATGTGTTGTTATTTAGCTCAGGAATGGTTGCAAACGGAAAATATTTTAATTGCATAATAATTTGGAAGAGAGTATGTATATTAGGTTTGCCGGAGCTGAAAAATGTAACACGCAGAAGGAGGCATGGCAGACCCCACAAAGTATATATATTCTTGATCAGCATGTCAAGACGAGTCGATCTATGTCTATTTGCCTGTCCGTCTGTCCGTATGAATACCTGGATCTCAGAGACTATAAGAGATAGAGACACCAAATTTTGCACAAAGATGCTGTGCAAGTTTGGATTTCCCCCTCCACTTCCCCCTATGGGGGATTTCGAGATTTCCATTCGTATAATCAGCTATGTCTCGGAGACTATAAGAACAAGGGACACCAAAGTCCAAGGTGCTTTATGTGAATACACAGAAAATGTATATTTTGGAATTTCCTTCCATCCCCCCTCTCCCTCCCCCCCTAATCTTTGATTTTTCATAACTCCCGTATTTATAGAAATTTTTCATTGCAATATCTCCAAATATCTCCAGTTAGTGATTATAAGTCCGTATGCCAAATTTCATAAGATAGGCCGATTTAACAGGAAGTCAAGGCCATATATGTTTATATTATCAAGCAGTGAACGTACGTACACAGACACACACAAACACACACATTCACATATGTACAGAGTATTTCAAAGTCGGGACACCCGACTTTAGCTTCTCTACTTGTTTTCTACTATGGATGAAGCCAAGCACAGCACTTCTGAATGGCGCGCATTAACTCAGAAAATGGATTTTAAGGAAAAAACTTACATAAGGTTCAAAATATAGTTTTGGGTCTATGGATATAAATGCATATAAACATAAAACTATTAAATTTTGATCTTCATTTTTGATTTTTATATGTAATTATTTACATAAATCATAAAAACAATTTAAATAAACAAATAATTGAAAAAATTTCTATGTATCCTCTCAACCGGACACTCCCCTAGGCCAGGTGGCCCAGACAAGTATGGATTGGCTGGATTATTTAACGGTAGGGTATGGTTTAAAATATTATAATTTTATAAAAATAAATTTTGTTTATTGCTATTTTTGCTATCTACTGTCACGTAAACCTAATATGAACTCAATATACTTATATACTTTTTTTCACTATGTCCCGCTTTCAGCCAAGGAATCCTGATTTTAAACTCAAAAGGTTTGAAAATACCGACTTGCCAAATAAATCCGTATTTATGTATTGTATTTTATGCCCAAGTTCTCGGAACGTACCAAAGTAATTTGCTATTTGGAAGTTCCTTTAGAAAATTTAGAGAATGTCGGCAGAGAAATAGCATATTGTAAAACTTAATCTATATATATAAAACAGTTTGTCCTGACTGACTGACTGACTGACTGACTGACTGACTGACTGACTGATTGGCAATCAACGCACAGCCCAAACGGTAAGAGCTAGGAAGCTGAAATTTGGACACAAGATCCCTCTTATAGTGAAAGTGAGCACTAAGAAGGGGTTTCGGAAAATTCGAGCTCCAAAGGGGGGAAAACGAGCTCCAACGTTTGTATGAAAAATCTACAATTTTTATCCGATTAACTTCAAACTTAGTTTGTATACTCTCACAAAGAATACAAAAAAAACTGTATACTTGGATTTTCAATATTTTTCCTGCGGCCTGAATAATAATGATTTTTCCGTGGAAAATTCGGTAAACGAAAAGCTATGTGCAATCAACGCACAGCCCAAACGGTTAGAGCTAGGAGGCTGAAAATTGGACACATGTTGTCTTCAGTGGTGTAGGTGAGCACTAAGAAGCGGTTTTGGAAAATTCGAACGCCAAAGGGGGAAAACGGGCTCCAACGTTTGTATGAAAAATCTACAATTTTCATCCAATTAACTTTAAACTTAGTTTGTATACTCTCAAAAAGAATACAAGAAAAACTGTATACTTGGTTTTTCACCATTTTTCCTGGGGCATGAAAAAGAGGGGGTTTTCCGTGGAAAAATTGAAACACAATCAACACCCCACAGCCCAAACGGTAAAAGCTAGGAAACTGAAAACTGGGCTCAAGTATCCTATCATGGTGTAGATGGGCACTAAGAAGGGATTTTGGAAAATTCGAGCTCCAAAGGGGGGAAAAGTAGCTCCAAAGTTTGTTCGAAAATTCTGCATTTCTGAATCGATCAACTTTAAATTTGGTTTTTATAATCTATAAAAGAATACAAACAAAACTGCATACTCGGTTTTTCGAAATTGGTGTTGGAGCTTGAATTATTGGGGTTTTAATATTTATTCATTTTTTCAAATGAAAAGTTTGTGTTATAAATTTTGTCCGATCGATTTCAAATTTGGGTAATATAATCTACGTAACTAAAATTACAACTTTGCATTTAACGATTTTTAAAATATGCATTTTACAAATGCAGGCAGAACAAACAATACAAAATATCAAACAGTTGGGGACAACTAAGTATACATACACACAGACATACATATATACAAGCAGCTGTTCGTGTAGTTGCGTGCAAACGGTTGAAGTAGCCAAAGCAAAATGTGAGACACTAATGTGTGAATGTTCATTTGTACAAATGTATGTACATATATACATACATACATATGTATAAAAGTACATTCGTCTTGCACTGACAGGGCAAGAAATGTTAATTAATTAAAAATTATTAACATTATAACATAAACATTTTTATGTTATTTTTTCTTTGTTTAGTACATTTTTTATTTTTCATTATTTAAATATTCTGCTTATTGCATTCAAACTTCGATATTTTGATGGTATCGGTGGCTTCAACTATCGAAAGTTTTACTCTAGCAAATTGAGATGAGAATTGTCAGTGCTTTTTGATCGTGGCTCATCGCGGCACGGCATTGACACGAATGCCGTGTTTCATATTCCGAGTTTGTGCGTGACCGTATTGACTCAATATGACACGAAAAGGCTCAAATGTGAATTTCAAATTAGGATATACCCTTATAATTATTCCCCCTTTTTTGCAAATCGTCTATCTTAAAACGTTGCGTTATCTCTATATATAAAACAGTTTGTCCTGACTAATTGGTGATCAACGCACAGCCCAAACGGTAAAAGATGAAATTTGGACTCAAGTATCTTTTCATAGTATCCATCATAGTGTAGGAGCACACTAAGAAAGGCTTTTGGAAAATTCTAGCTCCAAAGGGGGGAAAACGAGCTTTAAAAAATATTAGTTATAGTGGTCATGTTCGTTGAACGAAATAGTTTGGCAAGAACAAAAATGTAACGGACTACTGAACAATTTTTTGTCAAGAACAGAAAATGTTCATTTAAATACCTTAAATGCCTTCCTACTGGTAACTTATAAGGTGAAAACATATGGGTAGGTTATGCACACACAAAATAAATACAATTGGAAACATTATATTGAGCCGGGTTAAGACGGGCAATACCTGCTAGTTAAAATATAAAAAAAGAACCCACTTTTTTTTACCATTTCTTTGCTCCTGTAAAAACATTAATAACCGACTATGTTCTTTACTCTCCGGCCACTCTAGAATAAGTTAGGGATGTAAAAAACATCGATGTATCGAGCATCGACAATGTTTTTTACCACGATGCATCGATGTTTTCCGATGTTTTTTTGCTAACGATGCATCGTCGATCCATCGACGTTTGTCCAAACATCGAACATTATACATGTTTTGTTTGACGGTCACATTTCTTTGTGTGGTTTACCGAAAATGGTATGTATATTTATATCATAAATTATTTGATGTTTTCGTTAAAATGTGTATTTTATAATATAAATTTTAGATTGTTAAGTATTTGATCTTCTTTTTTTCGTATGTAATGTCACACTTAATATGCCTAAGAGGTGTAGCTGCAACGCGTCGTTATTTTAAAAACTGTTATAATAAGTTACAAGTTCATCAAAAGTCAATATTACGAGTACTATTTTGATTAACAACATTAAGTAAAATGCTATGACAGTCTCTTTTGATATATAAACACTTTTTATTTCAAGCTTCTCTGCTGATTAGCTTCCTAATAATAGCTTTTTTTCTATGGAAAGTTAATTTTTTAAAACATCGATGCATCGATGTTTTTTTGCGATGCATCGACCATGCATCGATGTTTTATAACGAGACATCGATGTACATCAACATCGATGTTTTCCCTTCGACTTACATCCCTAGAATAAGTGGCACATCTTTATTATTCCTCGTTTTTCTTTAACATATCGATACAATGTGTTTCTTAAGACAATCGGTTACATTGTTGTATTTTTGATTATCAGTTAATTTTTAATTTATTTACACTATCGGTTACATTGTTGTATTTTTGATTATCAGTTAATTTTTAATTTATTTACATTATTTACACTCCATATATTTTCATTCACTGAAAACCCTCAGAAAGAATTATACAGATTAATGTGAAACAAATATAATTGACATCGATTGCACGCGAACAAACCCTACAACATTTAAACGGCGTAGATGCATCTGAAATTTAAAGAAAACCCCTAAATCCCTAGTCCACGGACCTTTTAACAGCTACGTTTGATTTTCTGGTGTCAACCAGATAGCAATCTTACATAGCAAATTATGGGAGAAACCTCGTGTTAATACACATGCACTATTATTAGCTAATGTATTCCATGTATGTATGTATATTGGTATTGCTATCGACTCTACGAATATCGACTTACAGCTAAATGCGAAAATATCGATATTCAATAAAATAACACGATATTTTCGCATGTGTGTGGGCATCGAAAGCGATTTTATACGACTGAAGATTTCCCCGTCTTTTTTGGTTTTAAGCAAACGTGAAGTGAAATAGGAAATGGTATGTATGTAAATAAATACAATATTAAGCGCTAAAAGCCCTACCTCGTCGTTAAAGTCAACTACAGATATTAAAATGGAATCCAGCAACGAGAACACAACTGTGAACAATGTATTGAAAAAGCTTCCTCACACCGGTGTTGCTAATGAAGACGAAGCTGTAGTACCTAGCGATGTAAGAGCCAATGCTGATGAGATGACCTCACGGGACTACTACTTTGACTCCTATGCACATTTTGGTATTCACGAGGAGATGCTTAAAGATGAGGTTCGGACTGTCACATACCGCAACGCTATGTACCACAATAAGCATCTTTTTCAGGGGAAGGTATGCAAGGATTTGGTAATATAGAAGCGATATTACTTTGTATTTGTTTCAGATTGTACTTGATGTTGGCTGTGGGACAGGTATCCTTTCAATGTTTGCTGCTAAAGCTGGTGCATCTAAAGTCATTGCGGTGGACTGTTCAAATATTATAGAATTTGCACGACAGGTTGTTATAGACAACAACTTGCAAGACATTATAAAAGTGGTAAAAGGAAAAATCGAAGAAATAGAACTACCAAATGGAATCGACAAGGTTGATATAATAATATCAGAGTGGATGGGGTAAGTGTAGGAGCTCTACAATCAATTAAACTTCGGTCGACTTATATAGGTTTTGCTCTCAAAAGGTACTGCCTCTTCTATGAGTCTATGTTGGATACAGTGCTCTACGCGCGAGATAAATGGCTTAAACCTAGTGGAATGATGTTTCCTGACAGAGGTACGCTTTTTATTACTGCCATAGAGGATCGTCAGTATAAGGATGAGAAGATTAATTGGTGGGACGATGTGTATGGTTTTGACATGAGTTGCATTCGAAAAGTTGCTGTCACTGAGCCCCTCGTGGATGTCGTTGATCCAAAACAAGTGGTATCGACGGCCTGTATGGTAAAGGAAGTTGACCTGTACACCGTGCAGAAGGCAGATCTGAACTTTTCGTCAAAATTTAGTCTAACCATTAAGCGAAATGATTTTGTTCAAGCATTGGTCACATTTTTCAACATTGAGTTTACAAAGTGCCACAAGCGACTTGGATTCAGCACATCGCCAGACTCTACATACACACACTGGAAGCAGACTGTCTTTTATTTGGATGATCACATGACTGCGAAGAAAAATGAAGAAATAACTGGCACGTTTCAAATGAAACCGAATGAAAGGAACAATCGTGATTTGGACTTTGTAATTGATATAAATTTCAAGGGTGAGCTATCGGAGATTCATGAAACGAATACATACCGTATGCGCTAGCTTTCTGATTTTCTATTAGCAATTTGCGCCACCTTAAAATAGGACAACGACAAAGAAGATTTTTTCCAGTGCGAAATGTGCAACAACATTGTGTTGTGTCTTGCTAAGTTTAAAGTTCACCTATTATTAGTATGTAAAATCTAATATTTTGAAATTTGTGCGCTTGCTTAAATTATTTTTCAAGTACACTTATACCACAAAAAAAAAACAGATAATTTGTTATTGTTTTATAAGATTAGTTGATATACATACATATGTCCATGTTTCTGCATGAACACAAGGAAGTTTTAACATTTTCATTAATGTGATCAATATTTAATTTATATTATTGATCAGTATGGCGAGTCGATGTAGTCATGTACGTATGAGCGCAAGGACCAGGTACAAGAGCTAGACGGACTGACATGGTTATATTGACTCGTTTTGTCATGCTGATCAAGAATATATATACTTTGTGGGGTCTGCCAAGCCTCTTTCTGCCTGTTACATACGTTCGCACAAAACTAGTATAGCTTTTTACCCTTTGGGGGTACATGCTATAAAATCTCAATGTTTAGAATCTCGAACTCAAATTTTATAATTACGTCCAGATAGTGAATATAGATTCGAGGACACTTAAGCACTAACCAGATGTAATTACCAAATTTAAAAAAAATGTTCAAAAATTTAAAGGACTTAAGGAAATTCACTTATACCTAGAAAGTGTGGGAAAAAGACAAACAACTCAAACTCGAACTTTCTTGGGCATGGGAGAATCTGGATAACAAGTTTGGGTATTCTAGCTCTTATACTTTCTGAGATCTTTGTGTTCATACAGACGGACGTCTTTTTATTCTGATCAAGAAGATATCGAGTTTAGGTGGTCTGCCACACTTCCCTGTAATATACATTCGCACTAAACAAGTGTACCTAAAGAACAACAAAGGAGCGTCTACATACCAGGTTTGGTTAATGTGCGCTCAGCCGTTTTCGAAATCCAGGCGTCCATCCAGATGGACGGACATGTCCGTATGACTATAAGAGATAAGGATACCAAATGTTGCACAAAGATGCCTTATGTGTGTACGCTATGCTTTTTGTGCGAATGTAACAGGCAAAAGGAGGCGTGGCAGACCACATAAAGAATATACATATATTCTTGATCAGGGTGACAAGACGAGTCGATATAGCCATGTCTGTCTGTGTGTCTGTTTGAGCGCGAGGATCTCAGAAGGTACAAGAACTAGAATTACCAAACCTGGTATCGAGGTTCCCCTAAGGCCTATGCAGGTCAAGTTCATTTTTTTTATTCCGCTACACCTCCATTACTCCCCCGCAATTCGTGTTTTTGTTTTCATAACTCCCGTAATATTTAGAATCCAGTTGTGGTTATCTGGCCGTACGCCTAGTTTCATCGTGATAGGTCAATTTTGAAGGAAGTTATAAGGATAAACATAACCTCTGCCGAAGTTTTGCCCGCAGCTGTTGTTGTTGCTGCTTTGGTTCAACTTTGTGCTACATACATACACGCAGACACGATTCGGATGTAAATGTATGCTGTTGAAAGTGTACATGAACATGTCTTCACTTTTGTATATATGTATTGAATAATTTGTATTTAATTTCATTAATATAATTATACTTGTTAAGGCACCGAGCTTTTTCGGGAGCCTTTTTATAGCCTGTACCCAAAGGGTGAAAGGCTATACTAGTTTTGTGCGCATTTATGTAACACACAGAAGGAGGCGTGGCAGACCCCACAAAGTATATATATTCTTGATCAGGATGAGAAGACGAGTCGATATAGCCATGTCCGTCTGTCTGTATGAGCGCAAGGATCTCAGTAAGTACAAGAGCTAGGATAACCAAAATTGGTATCAAGGTTCCTATAAGCCCTAGGCAGAACGAGTTTGTTTATTTTTTCTGATACACCCCCCACTCCCCCGCAATTCGTATTTTTTCTTATAACTTCCGTAATTCTCGTAATTTTAAAATCATTTTGGTCGGTACATCCAGTTAGTACTAATGTGTCCGTGTGCCAAATTTCATCATGATAGGTCAATTCTGAAGAAAGTTATAGCCATAAGTAAAATCGCTGCTCATGCGCTGCCTGCAGCTCTGTCGGCAGCGCTGCCCGCAGCTGTTGTTGTTGTTGCTGCTTTTGTTCAACTTTGTGCTGCATACATACACGCATATAAACACGCATAGGTACGTGATGTAAATGTATGCTGTTTAAACTGAACATAAACATGTATTCTAATTTAATTAAATTAATTATTTTAATTAATTGATTCATTCATTTTTTTTAATAATTTAATTTTTTTTTTAATTTTTCCTTTTTGTGGAGAGTATAGGCTATTTTACTGTCGGGCTTGCTCGACTGTAGCGTTCTGTCTTGTTTAGTTTATGGGTTTTGTCTGATGCGGGCGTCAGACACGACAATTAAAACAAGAACGATTTCTTTTCAAATGTAATGTATACTTTGCCGCGCAGGGCCAATTATGTTTGTCTATAAACCGAATTGATATACACGAATTTAAGAGGCCACCAACTCAAATAGTTGAGCCTTTAAGCAATATGCGCAAAAGTAGAAGTGCGTTGTCTCGTACAACAGCACAGCGAGAAGCGTTAGATTGGCACGGCGAATCTAGGTCAACTAACTTCGATTGCAGCTGCACTGGCAGCTGCAGAGACTAAGAAAAGGATAATAAAAGGAAATGTACAAGGAGAGCAAATATTGAGCGCGATCAAAGCAAACATTATAAGAGTTATTAAACGTTTAGCGCTTCTTGCTTCGCAGAGCAAGGTACAATTTGTATATATGAATAATTATGCGTCTCCTGCTTGACCAAACAATACTCTGTACATAAAATGTACAAGAGTATATTAGGTTTGCGGGAGCTGAAAATGTAACAGGCAGAAGGAGGCGTGGCAGACCCCACAAAGTATATATATTCTTGATCAGCATGACGAGACGAGTCGATCTAGCCCTGTCAGTCTGTCCGTATGAACACCTGGATCTCAGAGACTATAAGAGATAGAGACACCAAACTTTGCACAAAGATGCCTTATGTGTGTACGCTGTGCAAGTTTGTTTTATTTTTTTTTTTATTTTCCCCCGCACTTCCCCCCTATGGGCCTTTTTCCGATTTTCCATTCGTATTATCGCCTATATCTCGGAGACTATAAGACCTAGAGACACCAAATTTTAGTCCAAGATGCCTTATGTGAATACGCATGTATGTACGCATGTTATGTGAATACGCATATATTTTGGAATTTCCCTCTCTCCCCCCTCTCCACCGCAAATCGGTATTTCGAACTCAAACTTGGCAAATACCTCCATTTAGTTATAATAAGTCCAAATGCCAAGTCTCATAATGATAGGCCGATTTAACAGGATATATAGTTATATATGTACATAAGACCAAGTAGTGCCCGCAGCTGTTGTTGTTGTTACTGCTTTGCTCAGGCACACGAGACATACACAGACACACACACATACACGCATAATTATTCTACACATATGTACAGAGTATTTAAAAGTCGGGATACCCGACTTTAGCTTCTCTACTTGTTTTTAATTCTCTTACTTTTTTTAATTTCTATAATTATTCTAAACATATGTACAGAGTATTTCAAAGTCGGGACACCCGACTTTAGGTTTTTTACTTGTTTATTTTTTAAAGTTATTAATTTTTTTTTTCTTTTTTGTCGGATTTACAGGGCATTTAAGAGTTGAGCTCGCTCTACTTAAGCATTCCTTTCTTGTTATTTATAAAAAAAATCATTAATAGCGGATGAGTGGACGGTGCGCATCAGAAAAAAGGATCAAATTTGATCTGCCACTGGCTCAGGGATAACAAGTTTGGTGACTCTAGCTCTAGTTTGTACGTTCTGAGATCCTTGCGCTCATACAGACAGACAGAGGGACATGGCTATATCGACTTGTCTTGTTATACTGATCAAGAATATACATATATACTTTGTGAGGTCTGCCACGCCTCCTTCTGCCTGTTACATACAATCGCACAAAACTAGTATAGCCTTTCACCCTTTGGGTACAGGTTATAAAAATAAAATTTGATCGATTTTACCTGCCTTGGCATTCGAACTCACGTAAATATTGCATAATTGCAAATTTACATACATACATAGCAATTGTGTCTATGAGAGTTTTTGCATGTCTATTCGTGTTTGTGTAAGAATGTATGCAGTACAAAGTTCAGCCAAAGCAGCAACAACAATAGCAGCTCCGGGCAGCGCTACAAGCATAGCATGGGCAGCGATTTTATTTATGCCTATAACTTTCTTCAGAATTGACCTATGAATGATGAAACTTGGCAGACACATAATCACTAACGGGATGTAGTTACCGAATTTTAGTTCGAAATTCCAAGAACTACGAGAGTTATGGAAAAAAACACGAATTGCGGGGGAGTGGGGGGTTATATCAGAATAAAAAAAAACTTGACCTGCCTACGGCTTATGGGAATCTGGATACCGGTTATTGGTTTGGTTATTCCAGCTCTTGTACCTTCTGAGATCCTTGCGCTACAGACGAACATACGGACATGTCTATATCGACTCGGCTTGTCACCCTGATCAACAATATATACGCCTCCTTCTGTGTGTTACATACACAAAACTAGTATAGCCTTTTATCCTTTGGGTACAGGCTATACCAACTGAGTGTAGCTATAAGGGATGAAACGTGTCGCGGACATTCTGCCTTGAAATTTATACACACAAGCATGCCATCATACAAATTTCATACATCACACATACCTACATATGCCTTCCTAGCACGATCGAGCGCTTGGCCACTGCCTGCTTATACTGCTCAAGGCAGCGCTGCATGTGTGTGCAGTGTGCTCGTTTTACGAACCCTGGGCAAAATAAAACAAACTTGTATAGCGTACACACAAATGGCATCCTTACGCAAAATTTGATGTCTCTAGCTTTTATAGTTTTTTATAGTCTTGTACATTTCATGTACAGAGTATAATTAATGTTTTTGTTGTTGGAAGTACAACCATTTCTTTTTTCAGCAGAAAATATTTAATGTGTTATTCACATTAGTATTGAAAATATCGTATATTAAACATTGCACACGGGTAAAAAAGCATGCCGTAGAGAATTGAACTAAAATTATAAACATTCAAAATCCGATTAGGAATTAAACATATTTGTTTTTAGCAAGTAAAATCAATTTATTGCAATAAAATTATTTAGTACGTAATAATTATATAAATAACATTTTGTTGGCTTTTTTAATTGAATCGGCCGACGCCAAATAATTCAATGTATTACTATACAATTATTTCCCATGTAATGATTTGTACAAACGTACAGTTTCATGATTTCGAAATCGTTCTTGTTTAGTTACAAACAAGTTATGACCCTTCGAATGTAGATAGAATGTTGGAATTGCTTTTTTCCTTAATACGTTTCTTTTTTCCAAAACGTATTGAGCTAAATCTATTACATGATTTTTATTTGGTATTTTTGAAGTTGAATGTGGGATAGCTTTTATCTCAGTAAACCCATTTTTTTCCTTCTGATATTCAACAATATGAAAATTAGTTACATCAGAAATATTTTGGTAAGATTTTTGTTGCAGTAAGCCTATAAAAAAAGCTTTGACAATATGCTGTAGATTTGTTGATCCTTCTATTTTTGCATACAAGTCCTTTATCCCAATTACTTTACATATCGTTTGTATAGCACGGTGGCATATTAAACCATAACCATCAGGTTTTTTGCAAACGAAAATTTTAGTTTTACCAAACCCTGTATAAAAGTCATGAAATATAGTTCTGTTTTCGCAGAGATTAATATTCATTAGTTTTTGTCCTGCCCGATTTTTTGATTTACGAAGGGCGGTCCGCACTTCTGGAGCTTTCGCAGTAGCAAATCCACCCAATCCATTTCCGTTTCCAGTGATGGATAAAACTGAGTACCTTCTTTTCCTTCCCATATTCCCCTTCATAATAAATACTATTTTATTTTCCAAAACTCTAGTGTCAAAAAAGTCATATTCTTCGCCAACTGTATCGGGAGGTCCAATGCTGCGCCCGGGGATTTTGGTACCGGACCATCCCCGATCTATAGGGCTTAGTCTCATCATTCGAAAACGTCCCATTGAATCGCGAAGGTTTATTATATGTTTCTCCCTGTCCAAGCATTCTGGAAGTTTTTGTTGACGAATTAGGTCATTACCACGTACAATAGGTGCATTTAGTCCAGGCCAAATGACATTTTTCTTTCCGAGTCCAATAGTTTGTCCTTTATTTAGATCCTTTGCAATTTTCTTTCCAGAGCCTTTCCCACGGCCTCTCTTTTTTCCAGCATTACTAACTGCAGTAACTCCACGCCATATTTCATCAGCAGGTACTGAAATTTATACAAACATATACATTTTGATACATAATACAAGGTAACAACTAAGTCTAAGTTGCGCGTTGACTTGCCGTATAATAATAATGTATAATGTATAATGTATACTCACAAAACTAATCTACATACATTTCATTCACTCGCACTAAACTAATAGTATTTTTGTACCCAAATAGTATAAAAAAATATTTTTCAAATGATTGTTATTTTTATACCCTATACAAGGTGCGTTCGAAAGTAAACAGGATTTTTTGAATCTAGCGCCCCCTGGTGGCGTTATCTATATGTCGACTAGTGCGTTAGAATCTGCTATCTTTATTGATTGTCCAGTGAGACATTTCATGACATTTCATCCATTGGAAGTGAAGTTATTGCTTTTTAAGTATGTTTGTGTTATCGATGCGAAAATGAGCTTCGAACAAAGAGCCAACATTAACAAGAAAGGAATGCTAAAGTCGAGCAGGCTCAACTCTTAAATACCCTGTACCACCCCACAAAAAATAAATTAATTAAATTTAATTAATTATTTAATTTAATTAAATTAATTTAAATAATTAACTAAATTAAATATAAAATATTCCATACATGCATACATACATTTACATCAGAATCGTGTCTCTGCGTGTTTGTGTTCTTGTACATATACATACGTGTGCATTGGCCTGGTTATATGGCTATAACTTTCTTTCTGATCAACCTATCATAATGAAACTTGGTATACGGATATGTAATCACTAACTGGATGTGTCACCCAACTCCCGTAATTCTTGGAATTTCGAACTAAAATTTTGCAAATACCCCCAGTTAGTTATTATGTGTCCGTATGCCAAGTTTCACTATGATAGACCAATTTAACAAGAAGTTATAGCCATAAATATATTTGCTGCTGCAGCGCTGCCCGCGGCTGTTGTTGATGTTGCTGTTTGGTTGACTGCTAACATGTTTACACAGACACGAATAGATGCACACAGGCATTCATACACTCACACAGACGCAATTGCTATGTAAATGTGAAATTATACACCATTTACATGAGTTCGAATACCGAGAAAGGTAAAATCGATCAAAATTTTTATACTCTGTACATAAAATGTACAAGAGTATAATAGCTTTGCGGGAGCTGAAAATGTAACAGGCAGAAGGAGGCGTGGCAGACCCCACAAAGTATATATATTCTTGATCAGCATGACGAGACGAGTCGATCTAGCCCTGTCAGTCTGTCCGTATGAACACCTGGATCTCAGAGACTATAAGAGGTAGAGATACCAAACTTTGCACAAATATGCCTTATGTGTGTACGCTATGCAAGTTTGTTTTATTTTTTTTTTGATTTTTCCCCCACTTCCCCCTATGGGGGTTTTCCCGATTTTCCATTCGTATAATCGCCTATATCTCGGATGCAAATCGCGATTTTCTCTAACTCCCGTAATTCCTGGAATTTCGAACTAAAATTTAGGAATTACCCCCAGTTCGTAACTATGTGTCCGTACGCCATCATAATAGACCGATTTAACAAGAAGTTATAGCCATAAATTTATTTGCTGCTGCAGCGCTGCCCAAGTGCTGCCCGCGGCTGTTGTTGATGTTGCTGTTTGGTTGACTGCGAACATGCTTACACAGATACGAATAGACGCGCATAAACATACATACACTGACATACTATAGACGCAATGGCTTTGTATATGTGCAATTATAATTTTTTTAATTCTCTTACTTTTTTTAATTTCTATATTTATTCTAAACATATGTACAGAGTATTTCAAAGTCGGGACACCCGACTTTAGCTTTTTTACGTGTTTTTTAAAATTGGTAAAACTTTCACCGAAACGTTTCAATTGATGGAACAAGTTTATGGCGATGATTGCCTATCCCGTAATAAAGTGCACGAGTGGTTTCAACGTTTTTAAAGGGGTCGTGAGGACATAAATGACGATCAACATGTGGGCCAATCAAAATTCGTGATCACCGAAAATTCCATGGAAACTGTGCGTGAATTCATCAAAAATCAGCAGAAATCATCATTGAAATTGAACGTCTCCAAAACATCGACTTATCGCATTTTGACCGAACATTTGGGCTTACGAAAGGTGTGTGTACGGTTTGTTCCGCACAAATTGACTGACGACCAAAAACTGCTCAGAATCCAACATTCGATCGACGCTTGTGACCGATTATTTGACCAAAAATCACATTTTAACCATTAACCACTCGCACCACCTTTTCGGAAAATGCATTTGCCCATGAAAGGAAAGCGTTATGCAGACGTAGAGGCCATTCAAAAGGCTTGCACCGGCATATGGCCAGCCAACGAGCTAAAACACTCGTTCGACATGCTTTTGGATCGCGCAAAAAGCTGTATTGAAGCAGAAGGAGACTATTTTGAATAAAATAAATTGATTTTGCCGAAAAAACTATTTGATCTGTTTTCGACGCCTTGCTACCTGCCTACGTCGTTGGTTACTACATAATACTATAACTGATCTTTTAAAAGTATTCAATGTACAAATTCTTCTTAATATCCATTTCTCTTAATAAATTAAACCTGTAACCCTTTGCAAAAAGAATCTGCCATTTCCCGCACAACATAATAGGACTAAATTAGTTTCGCGGAGGACTTTCTGAAAGTACAACATTCACGGTAGGAACATAGCAGAATGAAGCTCAAGGTTAAGAATCTAGGACTTAAGGATAATCTAATCTAAGAATAATCGAATGCACGTCTTTCGAAACGGGACTGCTCCAATTTGTAATTTTCCATGTACATGAGTATGTGTACCTGCTACTACTGAAACAAGTGGAGAAGCTAAAGTCGGGTGTCCCGACATTGAAATACTCTAGACATACATCTGTCTTCTTTCAAAACTCTTTTCGAGACACTTCCAGTCATCCAAATTAAACAACCGATATCTTTTTAGAATGGCTGTAATGTAAGCATTATTAATCCGAAAAAATCCCGCAACATTTAAACGCCTTCTTGTTTTTCATGATTTTACACAAATACCCATTAAAAGTGCTGTTCATAGAAATAGTAGTGCCTTTTTCATATTTGTAAAAAACCAACAAAACTTAAACTAATCTTCATTATTCATGTTTTACATATTTATTAGAGCGTAATATTGATTTGTGAATCCTTTGTTATTCAATACAGCCTGCCACCGACGAGGCATGGAATTAATGATGTTCTGGCAACGTTTCATAGGGATTTGGGCCTATGGCTCTTGAACCACATTCCAAAGATGAGCTTTACTTGAAGGATTTGCTGTTTTTAACATCTCCCCACAAATTTTCGATTTGATTTAGTTCCGGAGACTGCCTTGGACATGGCATTACATCGATCTTCTCATACGCAAACCAGGATTTGGCGAGTTTACTAGTGTGTTTTGGATAATTATCCTGTAGAAATGTCCTATTTGAAGGCATTTTCCAATTGGCATATGGTAACAGTGTATTCTTGCATATTTCCACATCGACGGTTTTGTCCATGATGCCGTTAATCATATGAATAGGACCGACACCAATATTCTTGGCTTATATTTTGTGTTTGGTGGAAGACAAACATATTGTCTGGAGCCTGTTTCACCAAATAAAACTATTTTGCCCTCGTCCGAACAAAATATGTTTCACCACCGTTCGACGGCCCAGTCTACATGCATTTTGGCAAACTTCAACGGTGCGACTATGTGCTTTCGCGTCAAAAGGGGTACCTTCCTGGGACTTCTTGCATTTTAGTTATGACTAAAGAACCGACATAGCACTGTCACTTCACTATTCGACCGATTCAAATCCTTTTTTATACCCTGTACCCGTAGGGTAAAAAGGGTATATTAGGTTTGTGCAAAGTATGTAACATACTGAAGGAAGCATCTCCGACCCCATAAGGTATATATATTCTTGATCAGCATGACGAGAGAAATCGATCTAGACATGTCCGTCCGTCTGGATGAACGCAAGGATCTCAGAAACTATAAAAGCTAGAATAACCAAAGTTGGCATCCAGATTCTCCTAGGTCCGAGTAAGGACGAGTTTATTTTATTTTTTGGAATTTTCCCCCCCTTCCCCCGCTACAGAATTTCGTCAATAGCGTCTATATTTCAAATGCTACCTAAACCAAACTTTGCACACATAATTTATATATATACTGTTGTATAAAATTTTATTCAATTCGGTCAATTCTAAGAAAAGTTATTAGCGAAACAAATTCTCGCCAGTACAACCCCTCCAAACTGCAGCAACAAGTTCGCTCTTCTTCTTCCTCTTTTTGCTGCTGCTATAGGCGCATATAACTCAGTGACGGAAGTTTACCTGGGTACAGGGTATTACACTGTCGGGCTTGCTCGACTGTAGCGTTCTCTCTTGTTATCATTTTAAACGATGTTAACGGCTTAATCCTGCTGTACCGCACAATTCGTCTATCCTCTAAAACAGTCGGCTTAAGCTCACAAACTCGCTTCTCTGCCTTCTTTTTTATAGTTGATAGCATTGAATACCACAGTGACACTGTATGGAACTATATTTTTAATCTCTTTATATGTTTTGCCACAATTTTTTAAGCTATCAGATTTCTCTTCTTGACCGAGCAATGTTTTCTTCCACCCACTGAAAATAAAATTAATGCAATTTTCCAAAAATGTTGTTCATCAAAATAATCAATAATTAAAGCGAACTTACTGATTACATCTTTACTTTATACATTTGTTTGGTTTTTTCACCTTTTTGATGTATTTACTCCCAGCACTACTATTTCAATGAACAGCGTATTTTGTGTGTATACGCGGAAAACCATCGAAATTAAAGAAAAGAAGTGCTAATCTATCGAAATTTGTCTGGATATCTGCAGTTTGTATTCTAGGATTTCCAACAAAACATCAAGTGCTAATTTTGGAAGACTGTAAGGGTTTCAAAAAGAGTTTTCAAAGTGATGAGGTGCGGCACTACTATTTCATTGAACACAACTGTATATATTAATTATATTAATTAGTTATAATTATGGAAATTAAAAAAACATTAAAAAAATGTTGACTGGTTTACCTCCCTTGTTAAGGGTTTATAACTGCACATTTACATAGGAATTGTGGATATGTGAGTGTATGCATGTCTATTCGTGTCTGTGTATAAGCATGTATGCAGTAACATGTTGAACCAAAGCAGCAGCAACAACAGCTGCGGGCAGCAATTGGCCAAATATTATATTTATGGCTATAACTTGCTCTAAAATCGGCGTATCATAATGAGACTTGGTATATTGGGGGTAAAAACAAAAATAAAACAAAATTTCATAGCGTTCACACATAATGCATCTTTGTGCAAAATTTAGCCTCTAGCTCTTATAGTCTCTGAGAACCAGGTGTTTATACGGACGGACAGACATACATATGTAGATCGACTCGTCATGCTGATCAAGAATATATGTACAGTCTGTCAACTAATTGTTTGCAAAATGAAATTTGTCACCAAATTTCAACTTTAACATTAAATTTATAAATAATGGCATTATTTGGGAATATTTTGCTTATCAATTATTATTAAGATATGTATTAGCTATGGGTATGTCAAAAAAAAGAGACGAATTTCCATGTAAAACGTAAAAGAAACGAAGAAAACTAAACAACGACATTTACGACACTGTCAATTAATTGTTTGCAAAATGCAAACACTGGTTGAAAGAAGACCATAGAAAAAGTAACAGGACGGCCAAAACGAAAAGGACCGATCGCATTTTTTTACTAGTATTCCTTCCACTAATTCCTTGTAAAATTTGCTTCAGTTTGGTAACGTATCTGTCACTTTGACCATTTTTGCAAACGCACTTATGACAATTTGATACAGCTAGTGTTTTTCCATTATAGCAACGGGAAAACAGCCAAACAGTTGGCCAAAACATATCGAATTAAACTTAGAACAGTCTATAATATCATTAACCGCGCCGAAAAAGAGAATTAAACAGCTATCAAGGCAGATTTCCATAGCTTTCTCGGCAGGATTGCTCACAAATTTTAAAAAGCATTGAAAATAAACCGCATGTATATACTTTGTGGGGTCTGCCATGCCTCCTTCTGCCTGTTACATTTTTCACCTCCCGCTTTCATGTACAGACTATAAAAACTTTATAGCATGTCAATAAAATTAAAAAAATTATAAAAAGCTTTAAGGGCCTAATTTGTCATAGAATAGCATTTACAGTTCATCACATACATACATATGTATCTGTCTCATAATTCCCAAAGTATCAAATTATATAACTCACATTTATTAAAAAAACTTGTGTTACGATAAGAAATAGTATATGGGGTGACAGGTAGAACGTTTGCAGAGCTTCCAAATTGATTTAAAATAGTATTACTGTAAACTTGAGCAATGCTCTTTTGTAGCAATCTTACGGCCATTACGACTATTAAAAATTGTAGTTAGTACTAGAGATGGACAATAGAGGATGGGAAATTGTATCAATGGCACTATCGATTGTTTTAAAGTTTTGGAATTATAGCCGCAATCGATAGTTCATTCGTGCACAATCATGGGTGCCACAGAAAACTCCGGTGGTTTCGGATGCAGTTGTTTTTTGAAAACTCCCAAGCTCGAAAGCTTTCATATTTCGAAATTCCCCTCCAAGCCATCTGACAGCAACAGCTGTCAACGACGCTCACATTTGACTGACTAATTCCGTCAAAATCCTGTAACGCACTTAGCTGTCAGCAATTGACTAATTGCGTTTAACGTACTACAAGTATGTTAAAAAAACAAATATGCCATTTGCATCAATATTAGCGAACATTTGTGGAAACGCCAATTAATTGTTGAAAAAATACAACAAAAATGTTTAAGAAGCGCATCTGATCCCACAAAAGAATGTTAATTATTAAAAATTGAATTTATTTTAAATTTACTTGCATATTGCTAATTTAATAATATTATAATACGTGGCATATAGAAAATATTTTTGATGCAGATTGTTCAGAAAAGCTATATTATATTCCAATGAATATTTTTATTTGTAAAAATGTCGTTGGTAGTGTTTTTAATCAAAGCTGCTGGCAAAAGAAACGAGATTAGAAACCTCCCAAAACCTCCTCTTTGGCACCGAGAATTGGTTTTGAAGCGAAACTTGGGCGGAAGAGATTTCTGTGGCACCTCTGATTAAAAGGAAAATAGAAAACTAGTAAGTGCTCTAAAAGTTCCCTTCCGCCCTAATACGTGCATGCACGTCCATGTAATATTATTACTTATTTGCATTAACATATTTTAGTGAGTAAGTTTCGTGTTAATAAATTGTTATTAGAACTATATTCACAAATTAATACGCATTTCGTAATCCATTTAATTAATTTATTTATTGAAAAATTAGAACAAAAAAGGTTTGCGAACCCGATTATTATAGGTTGAGAGTAAGTAATCCACAGCTGGGCTATTCAAAACGGTTGTTTAATACTGATCCCCGATCTCAGATCTCACCCTTGCAGTGCCACTACCGGTCTTCTCCCTCTTGAAGGGTTCAGCTAGAGGATTTTTGCCAACCAATCGACCAGCTTAAAAAGTGTAAAGTTAAACCAAGAATCGTGAATTATGTTATGAACAATATAAAATCACAGTCAGAGCTGGCAAGTTCGTATAATCACTTATAAATCGGAGACCATATAATCTAGGGACACCAAATTTTATTCCCAGATGCCTTATGTGAATACGCAGAAAATGTGTATTTTGAAATTTCCTTCCCCCCGAGTTCGAATACCGAGTAATGTGAAATCGATCACATTTTTTTTTATTAAATTCTATAAATTTTTTTAATTTCTATAATTATTCTTAACATATGTACAGACCGAATATGTACAACACCGAAGCCATGTCAAGTTTCCTAAAAAATTCAGTCAATTTGTCCGGAACAAACCGTGCACACACCTTTCGTAAGCCCAAATATTCGGTCAAAATGCGATAAATCGATGGTTTGGAGACGTTCAATTCCATTTCCATCAATTTCAATGATGATTTCTGCTGATTTTTGATGAATTCACGCACAGTTTTCATGGAATTTTCGGTGATCACGAATTTTGATTGGCCCACATGTTGATCGTCATTTATGTCCTCACGACCACTTTGAAAACGTTGAAACCACTCGTGCACTCTGCTACGGGATAGGCAATCATCGCCATAAACTTGTTCCATCAATTGAAACGTTTCGGTAAAAGTTTTACCAATTTTAAAACAAAATTTAATGTTGGCTCTTTGTTCGAAGCTCATTTTCGCACCGATAACATAAACATACTGACACTTAAAACGCAATAACTTCACTTCCAATCGATGAAATGTCATGAAATTCTCACTGGACAATCGAGAAAGATAGCAGATTCTAACGCACCAGGGGGCGCTAGATTTAAAAAGTCCTGTTTACTTTCGAACGCACCTTGTATATATATATATGTATGTGTGATGGGAAGGCAGGATTGTGAGAATGGCGGAACACCAAGAAGCAGCATCGCCATCAGTACTCGGTACTCATTTTGGTTTTAAGCAGTCAGTAGAAATGTACTTAGTTGTCAGTAGTAAGTTGTCAGCCGCACTACAAACACAGTCGTCAGCCGTAAAGAAAGAAGCAGAAGTCAACAGTCAGAAGAAGAAGCAGAGAGAAGCCGTCAGAGAAGTCAGCCGTCGAACCAGAGTGCATATGCAGAGAAGTCATATGCATATGCTAATATTCGCCATCTTCATTTTACCTTATATTTCTATTTTAAACTATATCATATATCTTGGTATCGTTACAAATAATAAACATTCTATGATACACAAGATCACATTTGGGGGCTCAACCGAAAAATTTTGAAAGCTGTGGAAAAAACAGGCTGTGAAGAAAGTGACAAAAAGTGCGTGAAAAGTGGCATGCACACTCATATGTACATTAAATTCAATTGAAGTTGCATGAGTGCCAGAAAAACGAGATCAGGCTACAAACCAAAGCCGGCGCCAACACCCACAGTTTCAAAGCCGAAGCCAGTGCGAGTGAGTCAGTTTATTCTAAAAGGAAAGACGCCAGTAGTCTCAAGGACAAAGAAGCCGTCAGTTTCAACGCGGTCGACGCTCACGAAAATGAATAACGAAGAGGACAAAGAAACCGTTACAAGTGAGCACGCACTGACAATATCATATGAGGCGATGTTGCCAGAAAGGTCCGAGGGCAACAGAGAAAAACAAGAGAAAATGCATGAAGAAACGAATAGAACCACAACAGCCGAAAACAGCGTTACCATGCAACAGCTAGTGCAACTATTGACCCTGAAATGCCAAACGGAAGACAGCAGCAAAGAAGGAGGCAAATTGGTGGTGGAAAATTTTTCTAAAATTATTCCGGAGTTTGACGGTGAAAATATGCAAGTGGAAAAGTGGTTCACAAATTTTGAATTAAGTGCAGACGCGTACGGTTTGAACGAAAAACAAAAGTATGTTCAGGCATGCGCCAAGATGACGCGCATGTTTTTGGAGTCTACGTTCATATACGAGTACAAATCGTTGCGTGAACAGGTGATCGATGAATTTCAACGAGGCAAAATTGGCAGTGCCGAAATTCACAAACAATTAAGTGCTCGCACAAAGCGCAAAGATGAACATTTTCATGAGTATTTGTTGCAAATGAAGAGCATTGCAGCCCTTAGAGCGATGGATACTGAATCGTTAATTCGATATGTTGTGGATGGGCTAAATCTTAAAACTTATTTTAAATACAATTTGTATAGCTGCACATCGTTCAAAGAGTTGCGAGAGAAATATAAAGTTTACGAAAGTGTAGCGGAAACAAGCGAGATAGTGTACGCAGAGAGAAAACAGTTTGTACCAAACAAACAATCCCTCTGCTGGGGAGAAGACTCAGGAGAATAATCAGATAAGTATTTATAATGTAGTTGAGACAAATACTGATCCTGAAATACCTCCTCAGTTAAAATCTGCTGTACAGTCAATGATATCCGAGCTCAAGGCGACCGAGAAGACTGTTGAGTGTCCGATCGAACTCAAAATAGTTTTGGAGGACGATAGTGGCGAATCCGAAGACGAGGAGGATCTTAATGAAGAAATGGGCGGAACCGAGGATGGTGCTGAAAAACTGGACGAGCAGATTTGGGGTGACAATGAAGAAGAAAAAAATGAGCAGGACGAAATAAATGATGAGGATCAATGCAAGGGCACTAAAGACGAAAAGGATGCTCATAACGATTTGGACACAAAAAATGATGCGGCCAATGAAGATGGACAGGATGAGCATGAAAAAGATGGGCTAGACGCCACCAACGAGCCAAACTCCGAGGATAAACGTAAGGAGCAAGCTAAGGACATTGATGATATTAGGAGTCCCGTAGTGGACGAAGAGCAAACGAATGTCTTTCACAATGAGCTTGAGGAGCCACCAGAGCCAGAGGAAATGGACCTTGGCGATATGAACAATGTAGATGAGGGCCACGATGACGTTGAGGATCAGGGTGATGAAAATCCGTCGCTACCCACAGCAAGTAATGGTGGTCACGTCAGAAGTCAGCCCGTATAAAAGCAGCTCAACAAAAAGATTGTATGATCAAAGCTATTTTTGAGATTCTAAGCAGCCGCCCCTATGACAATTTTAAAATCAAAGGAGGATTGCTGTTTAAGTCGATAGAAGGAACTGATCTGCTGGTTATACCGAAGTCGATGGAGCGAGAAATAATTGTCGACGCTCACAATGTTGGACACTGGGCTGTTCAAAAGACTTGATCAAGCAAAGCTATTGGATACCACATTTTAAGGAAAAGTTGCTCATGTTATCGCCAATTGTATTAAATGTATTGTCCCCAGGAAGGCTTTCTTCATCCCGTCGAGACCATTTTGACCATCTCGGACATATGGACGCCACAGCGAAGCAATATAAATACATTTTTGCTATAGTCGACGCTGCGAAGAAGTTTGATCGTTCAGATCATCCAAAGTTGCCGGTAGGCAAAGTGAAGGGGTCCCTCGTCGCGACGATCCAATCAAAGATGTATGTGTGTATATAAGTACCCTTGTACTTATATGCACGAACGCACTGGCTTGTGTATGCACTGAAGAGCACCGAAACGAAAGAAAGTAAACTGCACAAATCGACTTCCAATTTTCAAGTGCTTTATTGCTAGCCATGCAAGGCTTAGCATAGGCATAACATAATGTGGACATTAACTTAACAGCGACCAAATTAACATTTATGAGCGCTTACAACTAATTACTTACAAACGGCTTAAGTCTACAATTCAATGATAATTCAAACAACTTATATCTACAATTCAGATTATTTCAACAAACTTAAATCTATACTTAAGTATAAAGGTATGAAATGCCCATACATCGGCCGCGTTGAAGCGATTCGCTTCAAAACAGCTCGACTGGCAGAGGCGCCAAGCGATGAATT